ACTTCAATTCTGAATTAACTAAGTACATTACCCCTTTGGTATCGGTATGTAAATAATGCACCAAATATTAGTTTCCATCTTTCCAAGTTTTACTCACTTTCATTCTACTTCTGTAATAACAGAATCTTTATAAATAAGGATGTCTGAAACATGGTGTATGTGAAAAATATGGTAACACAAAGCACAACACAATTTCTACTTTAAGAAGTTTAAAATATATTTCCAAGGGGTGATCAAAAATATGATGAATATTTAAATTAAAACCTCATTAGAGTAAAAGGCACATTTCCAGGAATGATGGGATAAGTGTGTTTGAAGTAAGGGGGAGTACTTGAGAGGAATTAATGGCAAGGAAATATTTACTGTATTTTTATATGGAAATTTGATTTATTTTTTGCTTTTATCAGTACATGTTTGCAGTAGATAATTATTACATTCACTGTAGGGAATTGGTATATGTACATAACACAGTTCAATTCCCTTCTTTTGCCTTTCTCCATCCCCCTTTTATTTTTTTTTCCACTGAATTTTTTTTGTATATCCTACAGTGCCCAGCTACTATTTACAGAGTTAATTACATGTACTTCTATTAAATGATATTCCCATATATAATTTACATAGTTAAATCAACAAGTTTGTAAGTAACTTCCTTTTTTCATTATTAATGAAATATTCTCTACAATTATGATGAAATAGAGTTCTGTAGCCCACTTCTTTTGGGAATTGTTAAAGGAATTAAGACATAAGAAAAAAGGGTTGGCTAAGTTTGGGAAATGTAAGTTCGAATGAATAGGATCTGGGAAAAGGAAAAGAGAGGAAGTAATAAGGTAATTAAAAAAAAAAAAACCATGGTAGATTGTAAAGAAACATTCCAAATAAATTCAAACTTCTTACATAAATTTACATGACAAATTTGCTATAGCACACTACACTATTCATAGGGACTAAACTCCATCTTATTTTGTAATGTAACTCATTCTATTTGATAGCTTTTCTTTCCAAGGAACTATGGTGCAAAGCTGCAGAAGACTTTAAAAATTACAGAAGATTATTGGGAGTAGTCAATGAAAAACAAGTCATTGCCTAGCATACTCTTCCAGTTACCAGATTCTACAGTAGCTCCAGATCTTTCACTGATGCTAGGTATTTTACATGTATTTAATTTGTAGAAAATTATAAAAATGCAAATGACTCTTGTCTGTATAAATACAAATTCCATACATTGGAATGTGATTATCATCATATGATTATTCCATTTTGCCAACTTTTGCATGTATTTATAAAATAATTTCAGCATCCCTCATCTGTGTGTATTTGAATTCTCCTTTGAACAATTTATAACGTCTTATTTGTTCCCTTATTAATTTCTCAGCTTTATAAATTTTTGACATATTCACTGCATTTCTATATGAAAGCTACAATTCTAACTTTTTAAAATTATTTTATAACTATTCTTAATGATTATTGTCTATTCCTAATGAATTTCAATGACCATATAGGCTTTTCCTGAAGAAAAAAATCTTGTTTCCTATGTAGAATAAAATTTCAACAGTAAATAAAAGTTATTTTAATTGTTTAAAAAGTAAATCTCTATCAAGAATAAAAAGTAATTTATCTTTCTATCTACTCCAGATGACAATATCATGTACTCTCCATCAGGAATACAACTGGAATTTCATTGCATTAGGATCACAGAATACAACACAAGAGGAATAAGACAGGCAGGCCAGAACTGGCATAAGAAATGATTCCGAGGTACTCTTTTGCATAAAACTGATCCCCTTTCCGGTTCAGATGGTATAGCTGGCAAGATCTACCTCAACAGATATGAAAAGGGCTCCCTTGCTCTCTGTGTTGCTGTTCCCGTCTGACATCCTTAGAGATTGTGAAGCTGTCACTTAGCACCTTGAGTTCACACTCCCATGTGTGTGTTCTGTCCTTCACCAACTAACTTTTTGAAGCTGTGAGGGACTTCTTTATACTGCTTTCTAAAAAGCTTAAAAAATCATTGACTTCAATCTTTACTTCTTTATAGTTTCTCAACCATTTAAATTGATAATACTTATCTGATGCATGTATATTTATATTACATTATATCTTGTTAATGATTAGGGGATTTTAAACCAGTGAGATATATTGATTCCCAATTTTTCATATGGACCAATGTGACATTTTAAACAGATTAGCTTCTCTACAAAAGGTATGACAATCAAGATTTGGAAGTACTTGAATTTTATAAGTTGTTTTCTGTTCTATATATTTTATCAAGGAACATTAATAATGCTATTCTAAAAGCTAAAACTTCTATGATACAAAATTATTTTTATCTTGAGTTATCAAGTGGCTTATACATAAAGAGGATAGAACTTTTAAAATTTTACTTAGAGCTATTTTGAGGATTAGAGAAAGCAAACTATTTAAGATATCTCTTTTTTATTTAATCAAATATATAAATACTAGTCTTAAAAAACAAAACATTAGAAAATATAGAATAAAACTTACATTTTAACCTTACTTTTAAGGGAGACTATATTGTTTCTCCAGTTTTAATTTACTTCTAAACAAAATTGTCTAATGTCATGTGGCTATGATTCTGTCTTATTATAAGACTACATGAAAAAAACCTCAGAGATGGTTAACTACAGAGTTGTTTAAACTTTAGTAAGAAATGTTAAATATATAAAAAATGTAAACACTATTGTTTATTTCAGTTTTAGTGTATACTAAATAAAAGGAAATGTTTGCTAGTAGTTTTAACTTCAATGCTTCTGACATTTACAAATATTGTTCTTTATTGTTTACTGACCCAAACATGAAAAAAAGGGCAAAAGTGAAATAAAATAATAAGTGAGAAAAAAATAGTGTAATTTTGATTCATATTCTAAATATGTTTGTTCTCAATGAAGAAGAGTTTGAATGTATACTTTCTAAGCATCAAATGGATAAAAGTCTGCTAAAAAATTATTAATGGTAATAATTCACTAATCAAAGTCATACAGTTTTACTATAAATGATGATTATTTATTGGTTTAAGAAAGTTAATATATAAGTACCAATCAATAATAAATGAAAATACGATGTAATATTAAATCACAAAGGAAAGCAAGGTTTACATTGGGCAGTTCACAAATACTTGCAAAACTCAAACTGAAAATCTGTAATGAATATGACAAGCTAGAGGAATTTATTCCTCCAATAAACAAAATATAATATTATTGGGAGTTAGATGAGTAAAGAGAACTTGTCAATTTATTGACAAAGCTGTGTTCTTCACCAGTAGTTGACAAAATTTGGTGTTTTCCTGGATGTGTGCAGTTAGTGTCTAGAAATAATATTGGAAAGAACACTTTAAAGAAGTACTTTTCAGCACTCAGTTGTGTTTATGAATCACATGGAGCTCATGCTAGGATAAAGATTTTGATTCCTGTGGACTCAGAAAGTCCTGAGTTTTTATATTTCTTACAAATACTGACACTGTGGCCAGAGGACTATACTTTGAGGAGCAAGGCCTTCAAACATTTCCAATGAGAAGGCACAAATTCTCAACTTCTTGCCACATTCAGCATTTACAGTTATATACAATATGAACACATCCATTAAACATTAGTAATTACAGAGAAAGCAGGGAACTACAAAGATAGGAACTTCAGAATTAGAATAAGATTCATACTAATGTTTCTGTAGTGTCAGTACCTCAGTATCCTCCTCAGTTGGAACTAGACAGGTCACATCACAAAAGACATCAAAACACATTCTCGGAGGCTCACCAGCTTCAGCTCTACCAAAAAGTAGAGATTGCTAAACCAAACACTTAGGCAACCATCAAATCCCAAAGGGAGCTTCTGCTGGTGCCTACCTTGAAAATAGTGTCTTCCTGCTTTTGGGCAACATAAATTGTTTTTATGAGGTCTCCTTAATCTCTGCACCAAATTCACGGAATTGAAATTCAGTGTTTGTGTTTCCATTTCACAGGTGTTTTTCTCCATATACAAGTATTTTGACTTTTCCAACCTGAACTTAAACATCTATCTAGTTCTTTTCTATGCTTTTGTTACTTCTTCTCCATGTGTTTTGGCAAAGGTTCAGCCACTACTAAATAAGTATGTAAACCTGAAAAAACTGCTATGCACTCTAATTTTCCTGTCTAAGTGATACTTGGAGGCAAGTTAAAGTATTGGTACACTATTCTGAATAAATATATGTAGCATATTCAGGAGGCACAGGATGACTTTTGTCTGGAATAATTAGAGAAACAGATACTATCCCACTGAGAAGTAACATTCAAACCAAATATTTGGTACTGTTATGATATTATCACCAAGCTGTTTCCTGTCCCCTTCACCTGCAGCAGATTCACATGGCTCATTTAGTGACCACTGTAGTTTGGCTTCAGAGCAAGTCCTACGGCCTCTGTCCACTGGTTTTCCTGAGAATTCTCTTATATTTTGCCATTATTCCACAGTCAAATGACATAAAAGACCCTTTAATATCTTCAACAATAAGCTTAAGAATCTAAAGGGTTTTGCAAGAAAATTATACTATATATTTAAATTACTACAACAGCATTCTGCGTAACAGCTTGCCAAATAACAATTTGATGGGCATTTATCGCATGCATGAATGCCCACCAGGTATTAGCTTGTCCTTTAAATAAGAACAATGATTGTTTTTTTTCTTTTGTTCATGTCAATATAAAACATGTAGTTCTTTTTTTATTAGGCTATCAACAAATGCTTTGTGAATGAAAAGATATGTTAGTACCAAGTTCATGAAGTTTTACCTTGTTGATCAGGATGACTAAATTGATATAGTCATCTCTCATTTCTCTACCAATGAGAAACAAATGTTACTTTGGTGATATATTATTATTCTGGACATGACCAGTGAACATATATGGATTAGGAACCCTACAGGTAAGTGAAGAAAGCCCAAATTGAGTGTTCCGTCTTACATGATCCACTGATTTCAGGCTATGTTTACAAGGCCACCTTGAAACTCACTTCTTCAGTATAGTTTTTCAGTGATGATCCTCCACTGGAGACTTCTCCCTAGAAGGAAAGAGTAAGAGATGTTGAGAAAGTTAAGAGAAGGGGACAGAAAGGATGATCATGGAAGGTAATGAGGTCGAAGAGCTGTGCCCAACCCTCACCCTTCCCCAGCCTTCTCGGCTGACTTGTGATGTTATCAATTTGACAACTGAATATTCTGAAGGAGATTTTTTTTCAAGGCAGTAAGACATCTTTTCAGTGGATTTTAGTTCATGAAAACAAATAACCAGCTAGAATAGTAACTAAATCTCAGAGCAGAATTTTAAATTTAAAAATTCTCTTCGTAAGTGCTTAAAATTAGGAGAAGAAAAGCAGTCACTAGATCTGTATTCTATACATTTATGTGAGGATCTATCACCTGACTTAATAAATATTGTATGGAAAGAGAACACATCCTTAACTTTTAAATCCAGTCTTTACATTCAGTCTTTCTCACTTTACTAGCATTTAATTATTAAATTCTCTATTATTTGTGCCTTTTACAAGCACTTCATTGAGCACTCATAACCACTGAGATTGGAATCATTGTAATTTAAACACAGAATTAAACATGCATCTCAAATTTTCAAACAAATTGTCAGTTTGGACAAGTTTTATTTTTGTACTCCACAGCCAGAGACATTTGGAATAAATTGCCATATATCATGAAATGATAAATTCTAGGATACCATATGTGTTTAAAATGTAACTAAATAAAAGTGAATAAAGCTTACATTTGTTTCCACAGAATCTTTAACTTTTCAAGAACACTCACATATATTATCTCACTGTTTTTCCACTACAATTCGAGGGTATGACATCCTCAGGCCAATTTGATATGTAGAGACACTGAAGCCAGGAGGGATAGAGTAAAGTGATTAAAGTCAAGGAGCTAGGTAAAACATCAGTGGTACTGAATTACAGTCTGACAATCTTTTTACCTCACTGAAATGAAAAAAATATATAATAAAATATTAAATTTACTTTAACTGAAAAAAACTTTTGATATATCCTCTAACAGACTTGGAGGGAGAGAAGGCATCATGTCAAAACAAAAATTAAGCTACAGGTAAAATGTCAATATTCCTAAAACCTTGGAAAGCACAGGTCAAACCACAGAGATGGTAATATTTCTTTCCAAATCATGTTTTCTACTAGCAAAAAATCAATATGCTGCAGTTGAAATGCTTCCAAATGCTTCCAAACTTGGATGAAATATGGATAAAATGGGAAAAAATAGTGAAAGAGATAAGGCACTTCTATTTTCTTAAAGCATAAACTATTTGGAAAAAAAAATCAAATCTAAATAAGTCCCTTAAGCCATGAGGAATTTAACTCAAACTGCACAGAGAGGACCGGAAACTTGCTTCAGATACACTATCTCCCCTCATTTGAACAACTAGCCAGGAATTCTGCGTCTCTTCCAGTGTGGCTTTTGCATGTGACAGAACTGGTCCTTTGCATGCTAATAATCCCTTCTATTTTGATTTGGTTGCCAGGGGTAAGAGGACAAGGTAGCAAACAGCTTGGAGTTACAAATGTGCTCTCTGGGCAGCCAGCATGTGAAGCCTGCCTGGCAGGCCTCTGAACATAAGAGGGCAAACAGCAAGGCAGTGGAAAGCAGCTCCTAGCTGCTCACTGAACAGGGAGATTCATTTCCTGAGAGCTTGAGTGCAATAGTTCTTCCAATTTGTTTGGCCATTTGTGGTCTGCTACTAAGATCTGGTAGTGACTGAGAGTTTTCTTGATGATCAAATACTAATAGAACAGGTTTCTTGGCAGCCTTGCTTCTTTCCACAGTGCCAGGTCTTTTGAATATTTACACCAGTGGAAAAGAGTATGAAAGTTGTTGATACTAAGACGAAATCCTTCTTACCTATCAGATTGACAAAACTAGAGTCAGGAAGTTATGAAGAGGGAGGACTTCTGCCTAACTTTCTTAAGACTGACTAAAGGCTGAGAAGAGATTTATCTTTTTATACACACCCTAAGATGTGCACACCTCTCATGTATGTATGCAGATTTGTGTAATTAAGTTTTTCTTTGACCTTTACAATTATAAAAATTCAGACAGAGCTGGGGATTTAGCTCAGTGGTTTCACTGCCTGCTGCACAAGCACAAGGACCTGAGTTCTATCCCTGGTGCCAAAAAAAATAAGAATTCAGACAACATGCTCTTCATAGAACTGGCACCAGCAACTGTCGCTTTCACCAATGAGCTGATGTCTACTCCTGTCTTGGTCCCCAAGACCAGTGAACTTTTTATCTAAGTAGATTACATAAATTTTTCTCTTTTGCCTTTAAAAACTTCCCATTGCCTAGCCTTCTTCAATACACCCATAACTTACTATGGCACATGTATTCCCATTACAATCCTCTGTCATTCTTAAGTATCATTATTCTTAGGAAAATCAGACTCTGATTATTATGTACAATGGTAGGAGAAACATACATAACATCATTTATTTCAGGAACCAGAATATGGCTGCAACTGTCATCCATAAATCATTGACCAGGTAGCAACAATGAACAAGGAACATAACCTAGGAAGAAAATACAAGGGAAATGACCATTTTGAAGAGAGGGCTAGAAATGCAGCACAAGGCTAATGGGACAAAGCAAAGAATAAGATGTCAGCATCTCATTCTTAGGGTCAAAAGAGATAACCTCAGTCACGAGGCTCAATCCAATATGTCTGGTTTAGGTTTCCCATTTCCAACATAGGACCACTGAAAGCCTGGGATTACCTCCTCCTCCCACTGGGGGCACTAATGAAATGAAATCCCTTTCAAAGCCCAAAGCTATCAATTTCAGTCCATCTTGACTTAATTTTAAAGAATTGACAATTTAAATATCAAGTCATTCTCACAACATAATATTTTGGTAATCACCTGGAAATGAATCAAAAATATCCAAATGCAATTTCCCTTGAAAAACAAATAGAGTAAAGGAGATACAAAAGAGGAAGAAGGGGGCGTGTGAAGGAGGAAAAGGACAGAAGACATGAAAACTATACCTTAAAAAATTTTTAAAAGGTATTTCCTGAAATATGCTTTCACTTATCATAAATTCCTAATATAATCATAGTTAAGATAAAAATGTTTTAAATGTGAATTAGAAAATATATTGTAAACTCAGAGAAAGTTGGAGAAGAAAGTTAACATGATTACTGCTGAACATATCAGATGGAGTGTTAGCTGTCAGAGAAGTTTCTTGTCATTTTCTTGGTTATTGTAGAGTTAAAGAAATAGTCTCAGTAAGATGGAATGTCATAGAGACAGAGGTAGAATTAGATCCACAAGCTCCTCAATACATTGCCATTTTTCACTGTTTCATGCCTCTCTTGTTTCAGTCAATTAAGTATTTTCTGTTCACCTCTTACTGATCCTTAGACAAAATACAAACAGACTGGCATTTTCCTGTACTGCACATTTATTGATAAACATATATCTATGATCTCAGGTCTTAATTTGCTTCCAAACTTTGCTGAAATGCTCTTTCTTTCTACCTTCTTCCAAATGAAAGTAAACAACAGTTCTAACACAGAGTACTTTTTAAGAAGTACTTGAGGTATTTGTCACCTGTACCAGGATAGGAGCTCAAAATGGCTGGCCAAGGCATTTCTGAAACCAAGGGACCCATAAATCTTCACCTACTGTTTCCTCTACAAGCATGTATCAAGCTCCTGTTGGGTGCCATGTACTGTGCTGGGTGTTGAGACAAAAGCTGAACAAAAACTAATCCCTACCATAAAAAGCTTACCTTGAGAAAACAGATTTACAAGTAATAAGAATACAGACCAAAACTTACTTTACACAAGTATGACCAAGGTGCCATGGGAAAACATAAGAGGAAAAGGTTAGATAGCTAGGTAGCTCAGTCAGTGGCACTAGAGAAACAGATATAATAAAAGATACACAAATTCTTGTAAGAATTTACAAGATTGGATTACAATGGCCACCCACAGAGTCAGATGTGGAAGAGTGCAGAAGGTAGGTCTGCCTACTGGAGACAGATGGATCCCATCAAAGGTCTGGAGTTCACTGCAGTGTCCCATACAAGTCCGTATCAGGAGGACAATGGGTCTGCAATGGAAGGCTGAAGAGTCTATACCAGAAGGCTGAAAGATCTGTGTTAGAAGCTGGAGAGCCTGCACTGGAAGCCAAGAGATGACATCCAAGATGAAGGCAAAGAGTGGGGCTCCTCCGAAAACATAGAAGTAGATTTGTCCTTCTTCATTTCCCCTTTATACCACCCAGGTGACAAGCTGCCCTAGGGTGGGTCCTCCACACCCTAGAGTATGGAATTGCTGAGTCAATTTAGTTGAGCTTCTCTTACTCAAGTTGACACCATCAACCATCACAGTAGCCTTTCATTTAGTTAACAGGCACATACTGACAGTTCTCGTGCGTTGAAAACTGGTGTACCGTGCACAAATATGATGAAGAAAAGTGCAGAGAGTAGCATTTGAGGAAAATTATTTTCAAACTTAGTTGTAGAAAAATAACCTGATGGAAGAGTTGAATAAGGACAAAGACTCATACCAGAGAAAAGGGGAAATTTTGTGCAAGGCTTCAGGCACCACAGAGCAAATATTTGAGACTGTAAGAATTATAAGGAAGAGCACCAATCATACTATGCACTGAAATATGTACTATATTTTCAGATGCAGAAAGATCACCACTCTGTGTTACTTCTTAATTTCATACTGTGAGTTTCCATAAGTAGCGGCTAACATAGTAGCTATATGTTGTGCTTTTCTAACTGCACTATTATACAAGGTGATTGAATTTATAACAGACAACGAAGAGACGGAAATTCAACTTCAGAACTGGACAAATTGTGCAGGTGGTAACTACTATGGTATTGAAGTCAAAGAGAACATGCAATGATATTGATATCTATTCCCAGCTGGGAGAAATAGAGTGTATGATTGTGGAAATTTAGAAATTTCTGGAAAGCTCAGAAGTCTCTGAAATCATTAATGCATTCAAGAAATTAAAAATTATGTTTGTTTTCAA